TAAATGAATCAACAAAATGTAGAAAATAAAAATTAAGAGAACAAAAATAAAAGATAAGACACTTGTGGTTGCCACGGTAACAAGCCACAGGCAGCAACTTTAACATCACTGTAGATTAGGGCTGGGCGATATGACGATTTTAGACAGTTTTACGATCCACACATCTGACGGTCTGTCATTTTTGAGAGACCTTTTTATCACGATTCACAGCTCTGCTGTTGAATTTCTGCCTCTGAATGAAAAGGGAACTTACCCCAGGCGAATGACACGCCTTTGTTTGACCCTTAACCAATAAGAGTGAGTCATAGTAATATATTAGTGCCCGCTTGTTTTCATTTGTGTGTGAACAAATGGCTTCGGCCGCGGCTGAGCGACAACGAGGTTTTCGTTCCGAAGAGGAACGCAGGGTTTCCTTAGCGCGCGGCGCTAACAACTTAGCGACGTGACATGTCTCGGAGAAAGCGTAAAAACACGTTGGACGCTTCTTCTGAAGCAGGAAAATAACACCGCTTCTTAAGCAGAGCACGACGTCGCCTCGGCTCGTCCACCCTCTGCCGAGCCGGTGTCGGTACCGGACTGAGCTCGGTCACTGGGTCGCTGGAGCTGCCCCGTGACTGCCTGATGGAAAACCAGCGGGTTTCATCAGACTCGTAAAGTTTCTTGTTTTTGTTGGGGACCCCCTGTATTTTACCGCTCCCTCCTGCAGTCTTCCCCTATTACAATTTAAAATGATTCTGTAAACTCCGTGTATCAATAGAAACAATCTCTGCCTCTGCCAGCTGCAGTAAATGTAGTCTCCAAATAATAAGAGGTGCATTCATCTGTGTATCTCCTTTGATCCGCATTAGTGATATTCTCAGCACCAGAACAGTGAAGCAAAGAAAGATTCCTGAGTTTGTTAGTAAATTTATTTATTAGGTGCATCTAACCTGTTCTAGTTTTCTCTGAAATGAGATAAAATCAGTGCTTCTATGGGTTGTCTCCAATCTGCACTGGAAAATTTTACTTTATTTAGAGACTTGTTGCAGAAAATATTGAGAATGCGCAGTTTTTTGCTACCACAAGCGATCTCTGGTCCAGCCGCACATCAGAGCCGTATTTGAGCTTAACTATCCACTACATGAGCAACTGGGATCTACATAGTATTTTGAACAAGTTAATGTTTACACAATACGTTTGCAATTGACATGTTTGCACTTTAAATATGTTTACGATTTTAATTTATGTTAAGTTACTTGAAAAACGAGAAAAACTGATTTTTGTAATTGTTTCTCTCAGGGCTTTTATCATCTCTGGTGTGAGTTTAAAATATAAGTGTGTTAGCACTGAGTTGATTATCCCTAATATGAATAAATGTTTATTTATTCAATGTTTCTCTTCTTTAATACGCAATTGAAGTTATGCTATTCATGGATAAAAAATCGTGATAAAATCGAAATTGTGATAAAATATTGGAAAAATCATGATATTCTATTTTTGTCATATCGCCCAGCCCTACTGTAGATCTTGTTTCTTTTTACTCTTATTCTATAGTTTTCAAATCAAAATGGAGACTTATAAACATGTTCTTCAGAGGCTTCCTGGTTTCCTTTTAATCTTTTTGTATTGAACATTTAATTAGGTATTGTTTAAAAATTAAACAAAAAGACCTTTTAGGTAGTGATGCACCGATAAGAAATTTTTGGGCCGATACCGATATCCGAATACGGGGAAGCGTGACTTTAAAACTCTGAAAGATGCAGCAGAACTGAGTGATTTCTGCTAATGCAGTTGAACTGGTAAACAGTCCACCCTGTCCTCATATGTGCCGATACTACAGTGTGTTTTTAGAGTCTGATCCATCATATAATGAGAAGCCACAGGACACAGGATTAGTCATTAGTATTATCTCTCTGTGAAAGCGAAGGACACAGCAGGCAGTGGATCTCTTGTTTCTTCTCCAGAGCAGTCAGACCATCTTTCACTGTCTACCTCCACCTCTGTCCTTGTGTCTCTCCACCCTCCTCTCACCTTCTGTCCCCCAGTCAGTCTCCACAAGGGTGTCAGGGACATATTTAGTCACCGAGGTGGTCATATTTATAGTCCAGGGCCATAATTAAGCCGTTAAAAACAGTGTTCTCTAAATGGTCCCCTTCCATCAATAGCGGCTGTTTATTTTCAGGTTTTTTATTTATTTTAGAGCTAAAACACAAATAGGTCACGCTGTGGAGAAGACCGTTGACCAATACGGCGGTCACTGATGAAGGTTGTCTTCAGCAGAGAGCGCGTTATGCAACGCCAGGAGAAAATGTAATCAGGAGGTGTTGGCGATGAGGCCTGGAGGAAAACCGCGGAGGAGAAAGGTCAGTGAACTCAGCGGGTTGCAAGAAAACGCGAGCTGCTTTTTTAATCTATGGTGACAGGTCCTTTAATAACACGCATTTATAAATAAGAGGAGGTCAGCATCTGACACTAATGTTAAAGTTAACTGAAGCCTGGAGGAAACAAAAGTGTCTTTTATCTCTTATTTTACTTTTCTTTATAAAACCCATTTATATCGTCTACAAAGGCTTAATTGTGTCATTTTATAAATATTAAAAGCTACTTTTTATCAAATCTGGAGGGTTTCTTAAGACGTTTATTCACATTTACGGATTCTGTAACTGATTTAAAGATTCAACTAATATTTTTTATCCTTTTTTAAGGGAGATCCTTCTGTGTGCATATTGGTGACTGTGCCTCTACCAGCCTACTGTTGACCTGGGGGGGGGGGTTCCGGTGGGTTCTGTCCTGGGGCGTCTTCTGTTCTCAATATATCTTCTCCCTTTCCGATTGGCATGGCATTGGTTACCATGATTGGCAGTTATATGTGGAAATGAATGGGCAAAACTCAGACCAACTTTTTGCAGAATGTCTCTCTGATGTTAGGGGTTGGCTGGCAGTAGGACTGGGCAATAAATCGAAAATATATTGTTATTGAAATTTCTGACTAACCGATTTCATTTTTCACATGTCAATAAATTCGGTAATAAACACGTGTTGGTTAGAGACATTCAATTCCTTTTAAGAGGCTGTACCATATCATGTTACGTGACAACATGGCTCAATATTACATGCCTGACAGCCCCATCTAGTCGACAACTTTTGTTTTTGCGCATACACGTAGTTATCGTACATTTATCGTTATGGAATATATCATGATATTGATTTTAGGCCACATTGCCCAGCCCTAGCTGGTAGCTAACTTTCTTAAACTCAATGAGTCAAAGAACGAAGCTATTCTATTTGACCCCAGAAGCAAGCCTCACACTACAGCAGTCCCTACACTGCTGAGATAGGAACCAAAGACACGTGTTAATGGTCCCTCAGATAAATGGGGTGGTGAGATCGTGCTTTTACCAATTTTGCCACCTGACACACCTATAGCCGATCTTGAAGCGGTCACATTTAGAATCTGTGATACGCGCTTTAATAAACTCACGTCTTGACTTCGCGAACTCATCTTTGGTCAGTATTCCTGTCTCAGCCAAGAGCCGGATGCAGATTGTGACAAATACAAACAGATGTAGCCATGTGTTCCCGGTTTTGGCATGCCTATACTGGCTGCCTGTGGCCTTAAGGGTGAATTTTAAGATCTTGCTCTTTGCATAAAACGCTCTACATGGCCTTGCACCCTCTAATCCATTGGACTTCATCACGTCCTATGTGCCTAGGCGCTCGCTATGGTTGGCTGATCATTTGTTGCTTTGCATCCCCAAAGTGAACTATAAAGCTAGGGGAGAGCTAGCCTTTTATGTAGACCACACCCACCCTCTGGAATGCACTGCCTACCCCACCCCCACCTTGGTCACAGCAATCACTAGCGGTTTCAGCGTCAGACGGAAGACACGTCAGACTGATGAAATGTCTTTTTCAGGACCTTTAGCTTTGATGTGACCTGCTTTTTGTCCCGCTTGACGCCCTGCTCAGCCAGTGTTTTCACCACTCTGTCGAACAGCTGGCTGTCTCTCACCGTCCCCGTAAAAATGCGACTAATCTGTTTGTCCGCTCACACGGCCAAAAGCTCCATGGCCTCCACATCTGTCCAGTTTGCCATGTTGTAGGTGGTTGAAAGATCCTAGTTAGAGGCCATATTTATCTGTGTTTATATCCCTTCCGGCCGGCATTCGGCGCGCAGTATACGTCACTAACGCGACCACCATCTTTTGCAGGGGGGCCTCCCACAGTCGCTCCAAAGGGATTAGCGGGGCTGACACGCGTTTAGCCATCAGAGGCAATATTACTACGTGGCTAAGCGCATCAGAATGGAGTTTTATCACCTTTCCCCTTCACTCCGTGCTGCATTTACGAGACCCACAAATTCGGATTTATCACTCTGTAATGGCGCGATGGTCTGTCTTATAAAAGAGGCTATTTTGTCTTCAAGTCATGACTGAAGATACATTTTAATGATTTGGCTTTTAGGGTGTGACTCTCGTTTAGTCCCTGGGTTTTAAAATCTTTTTCATTATTGATTGCTGTTTTAACAGTTTTTACGTATAGTTTTTATTTTGCAATGTATGTACCTTTTGATTTAGTTTTGTGTCTTGAATTGGGAGGCGCTTCGTTCAGCTCCCATGCTGTGTTTAAATTCACCATATAGAAGTGGTAAGGTATGGTATTTGACTCACTTTTTTGTACTTTAAAGGTATTTTTTTAGATAATCCTTGCAACAAAATGTTAAAAATTTAAGCTTCATTTAAACTGTGATGGCTTTCTCAGGGATGCAGCTGAACAGGAGGCTCTGGTCTGATAAATGACACGATTGCTGAACTCAGATCAAAGTCTCAGCTCTACGCTCTCGTTAAAGAACAAAATAATAAAAAAAAAACTAGTGAGTAAAAATGTCCCAGTGTTTTTCTACAACTGAGCTGTTTAGGTGACTGGAGGAATTTTTATTTGAAGACGAATGTTCTTGTGAGTGTCTGACGGTGAGAGACAAGCAGCTACGTTTGTTTGAAGCCAAAAATCCAGGAACTCACCGCTGATCCACTTGGCCTCGGGGTCATGAGCATTGAACTCAGGTTTGAAAAGATCTTCCACACTCAGCCTGGACTTGCTGCTTCCCGGGAGCTCAGCTGGGGAGCAACAACAACAACAAAAACATTTTTATGGTGGATTTATCACCAAGGAACCAAACGATCTGTGTTGATCATTGACACAAAATTATTTAACAGAAGCAACCTACATTTTATAAGCTAACGTGTTTGCTTTTGGTTTTTGGGAGGAATCACACTTTCATAGAGATAACACACTATCTCCAAAAGGACCACAGATGGGATTTGAACCTGCAGCCTTCTGCAAACTTCCTCCATGCAGCTATATACCGTAAATCCTCTAATACAGGCCCGGGCCTGTATTTGACTCAAGCTCATCAAGCTCCAGGCCTTTATTGGAAGGAGGGCCAGTATTAGAGGCAGGCCTCTATTTCTATTTGAGCAAAATTAACTAATGGTTCGCTGGAGTTTTTGACAATTAAAATTGCGCCCATATTTTCAAAGTTAAACACATTTCTTTTAACAACGGTAGTTTCTGCTTCAGCCCTCTCCCCCCTCCCCCTGCGCAGCGGCTGCAAACTCACTGATGCGCCTGCAGCCTCTCGGAGTTCCTGCTGCTCTAAACATTAAAATAATTATTTCATTTTCTGTTCCTCACTTCTGATGACCTTCAATGGTCTCTGTTTGTTGCAACCACCAGGTACAAAAACTAACTTGTTTTTATTTGACTATTTTTCTGTCCTGCCTGTTTATTATCTTCCTGCATCTCCTCTCAATCCTAAAGAAAAACTGCTACCTGGGTTCATATATATTCACCTCATGAGTTACCTTTGAACTGCAGTTCTAAAAGATCTACCGACCGCAAAAACAGCGGAGCGCTTGCTGTTTGGCGGCTGTATCAGTGATCAGTGCGTCGGAGGACAAGGTGATGCGCGCAGCGTCCCGCTCCACAGCATGCAGCGAAACACATCAGGCGCAAATAAAAGACAGAAAACATTAAAGGAAATGAACTGACATGAACGATCGCGTGTTAAATTAGTTTTTGAGGTGGCGACACCTGATTGTTACTGTGGCCGTGCTCAGGAGGCAGATCTACCGACCGCGAAAACAGCTGAGCGCTCCCTGCTGTGATCTGTGCGTCGGAGGAGAAGGTGAAGCGCCCCGCTCCACAGCAGCGATACACATCAGGCGCAAATAAAAGACAGAAAACATTAAAGGAAATGAACCGACATGAACAATCGCGTGTCAGAACCTACGGTCTGGCACTTGAGTTTTACCCCCAAAAAGAGAATGTGATCATACGATAATTCAATAGGGAGCGTGGTTTCACAGACGCGGAAGTGATAAGCGTCGGTGAAACGCCGGCTGATCTAGGAAACCCCCGAGCGTTCGAGCGTCAACGAAGTGACACGGAAATGCCGGGCTTTCCAGAAGTAAGTAAGATAACTTACTATGAGCTGATAGTTCGTTGGATTGATCGGTAGGTTGGAAACTCTGATCGTGAATCTGAAGAAACGATGACTGAGTGGTGAGCTGGAAAGGCGACTTCCGTTTATAGCCGCGGTTTGTGACGTAGGTGCGACGTGAAGGGAATCCCCGCGAGGGGCATGCTGGGAGTCCCTACTTCGCGGATTTTCACCTATCGCGGCCAGGTCTGGAACGCATCTACCGCGATAAACGAGGGATTACTGTAGTTCATACACCCCCTACTGCTGCTCTCCAGAGTGTTCTGCAGCATAATCAGCACGTTCTCTTTGAACTTGATAGTGTAATGACCTGGCTGGGGTTGTAAGCCAGGTGCATTCTGGGTATTGTGTTATATGTGTTTCCTATCGTTCTGCTAGTTCCTATGTGCTGATTTGCGTGTTGTGTGAGTGTTATGTAAGCCACAGGGAAGGTGATGTGTGTTCTGTGGAGGGGTTGAATTAGCATGGTTAACTGACACCGTGACTCTGTGTGGTAGGAGCGTGATAGAGGATCGTGTCTGTAGCGTTACAAAGCGTTGAAGAAAAAGCCTAATAAAGGTCTGCGTGAACCTCTACTGCCTCCTGCTGGTTGATTTGGGGACCATAACCCTGCCGCTGGGACGCTCGTACTGGCTTGTTACCACATTCCATCCGACCACAATAAGAGACCGGCCATTATTTACCTCCGCTGACTCCGACACCGGTCAGAATTGGAGACCCGGCCTTTAATTGAATACCGGCCTGTATTAGAGGATTTACGGTAACTGAACATACGTCAGAAGTTTAGAGCAACACTAAAGAGTTTTTCACACTCTAAGCTATTGCTTTGAAACTGGTTTTAGTGGTTCTTGAGTCATAAAACTTCACATGGGAATGCACTCTGCCGCCCTCTGCTGACCAGTTACTGCTCTTGACAGTTTTGTGATTCAGGTAGGAGCACTAGGGGGACGTCGCTACCTGCTTAACAGATGTTAACTGTTTACTGCGCTGGTAGCTAATATAAAGGCTAGCAGTTCACTTTTTCAATTTGCCACCCGTTCACTCATTCGCTGCCAGCGTTTCTCACCGTTTTTACTGTTTTTTAAGAGTCACAGAACGTTGCGCGCTAGGATGATGTCGACACCAAAACAAAGCGGAGACTCACCTCTTACATCAGGAAGAATCCGCGTGTTTCGAGCGTTATCCGTTCTTTCATAATCCGTTGTTGAATTGTGATCGGCAGACGCTTTTCTGGTTTGCGCCTCACTTTTTTTACAGCAGCGGCCCAAAACGATCTCCTAACACATGGATTTTCTGCTTCCTGATTAAGTGACATGTGACGTACGCGGATGAAGATCGGCTTTAGAGCTTAGACGTTTGTTCTCACGGTGCGGGGGCTTGTTCCGACGCCCACACCGTGAAAAAATGCAAATGACGACTTTAGTCGTCAATGGCAGTTAATGAGTTAATAAAAAGAACAAAAAGTAGAAGCTGAAGGAAGCTGCAAAATCACAGGATGGTGACCTGACTTTGTTGCTAGTTGACTTGTAAGTGTAAGACTGTGGATCTTTTTACTTCAAGGTTTATTTTTGTATCAGTTGGCCTGTGTTAGCATTAGCTTGTGTTAGCATTAGTTCATTGTAGCACTAACTACAGCAGATTGCAGCAGAGTTGCTTACAAAAGTTGTAATTCTGATTAGTGAACCACATCAGAGTTGAGCTTCTGATGGCAGGATGTGGACATCTCTCCTCCAATTGGCTAATAGCAATGCGACTCTACCACTGACTCTTGTTTGCTCTGCAATGTGGATGCTTTATTTCCACAAATAACACAAGCCTGGAGGAGTTCTGCTGTCTGGTGGGGTTGCTAATGCTAACGACTAGCCAAGACGTTCTCCGTTGTTTGCTGGACGCTAAACCAACAACAGCCTTCCCTGTCGAGAGTCAAGATGGGTGAGTCCATGAATGTTAAATCACAGCGTGACGTAGATCTATCAGGCTTTTCTAATAATAGAGGGTCATTGTCTATTTTAGATCAGAAGCTAAGGCAAGAGATAGGTGTTGGAGACTATCTTCATGTTCAGCCTGCATGAAAAACTCTAAGTGATCGATTATAATCAGAAATATTCATTTAAAATTTGTTTTTCAGTGAACCACAACTTTAACGAGATCATATAATTGCTTTTATTTAGGAAAGATGTCGAAATTCAAAGTTGTATTTATAAAATAATTGGTGCAGGTTTTTGTGCCAACTTTGGTAACTACTACATAAAGCATCAAAGGTGTTTTCTCTCATGTCTGAAAACCGTTGTTCAGAACTAAACAGATATCTGAGAAAAAAATTGCACTTCCTGTAAAATAGCATAAAATATGAAAATGTGAGCTGCAACTGTACCTCCAGAATGTTTTTAAAGCTAGCCTAAAGATATTATGAACGTCTAACTGAAAGTTTCACACAGTAAAAACAAAAGAAAATGTAAGAATGATCTGAGTGTCAAACCAGTGTTTTGTTGCATGATGTTACCGTACCGGGTGTGAGGACGACCACCGACAAGGTGATGAGTGAACAGACGACCACGATGACCAACAGGGAGATGGCGATTCCCTTCCAGTTCCTCTGAGGGGGGCTGACGTCCACGAACTCCTGCAGACACAGTCAGAAAAACTGGTCAAATGCTAACTAACCTTCTGCTACAGGAGCATCACTGCAAATCTGCAGGATGGAGACATGAGAAGAGAAGGCGTTGATATGAGTGTCTGCCTAGTTAAAAGTGAAGAAATTAGACATGGAAATGATTCAGTTTGGTCCCAAAATGCCCAAATAATAATACAGGAATTTGCACAGAGGGGTGTAAAAATATCAGATGAAGGTGTCCCTAACAACGCATCAAACGTTCCCACTAAACACGCCCATCAGGATGGAAAAGATCTCAGCCACTTTGAAGGAGGGTTGATTTCTGGGGCGCAGAAGGAAGTGGCTGCAGACGGCTGGAAGCTAGTTCCAATCCCAACAGCGGCTAACGCGACATGTGAGGGAAAGGCGTGAGTGACAGGGAGGACGCTGTGGTCATCAGCGCTCACCTAATGGCTGAGATGCTCGTGCATACGTGTGATGCAGAGGAGAGAGGCTAAACGACACGCCGTCTCGCTCTAATATGACATCTATAATAACAGTACGTTGCTTTAATTCCACCTCTACGAGCTGCGAGTCACAACCGTAACCTGAGCCGAGGCTTCTTTATTTGAGCTGTGAGCGTTGTTCATGAACACGAGTTACAACTGAGACAGAGGGGATTTTATTTCTACTGTTGCACATGCAAATGTGGCAAATGACTCATTTTAAGCTAGCTTACAATTTGGATAATGAAACCATTACACCTGTTCAGTTGGCTGTTTATGTAGTTTAAAAGATTAAAATGTCACAAAAAACAAAAACGCTGTTTCAGGTTTTCAAGTTTTTTTAAAGTGACAATGTGTAGTTTTACCGTCTTTAATCTCTGGAAATATCCATCAAAATGTTGTTGAAAAGGAATGAAATGATGCCCAGTTGTTGAAATATATAACCATAAAGATCGGGGGTCTCATTTAACAAACATTGCGTAGAATCCTTACTAAAACTGTACTTAAGCTCAGCAAAAAAAAAAAGTACTTACACCAATTAGGTTTGTGATCTATCAAACATGGAGTACGCACAGCTGCACGCAATCTCCGCTTCATAAATCAGAGACTATCTAGAAAGGTTCTAAGCTGCTTTTTAGTCACATCCCGCCCTCACCACGCCCACTTACTGCCATAAATGGTCGATGCAAAGTGTCTTGTGGACCTCATGCATTTACATGAGCTGGCTTGTTGCAGCATTTCGATCACGACCGCAGATCAAGGAAACGCTATTTCACAGAAGCAGGAGTTGAGGTACTTGTGGGTGAGGTGGAGAAATGAAAGGAAGTGCTTTTGCAAAACAAATATGAGAAAATCCACGGAGTGGCACAGCGTTGCTGAAGCCGTCAATGCTGAGTTCTTCAGAGAGATCTGTGGCGGGTATAAAAAAAAATGGTCCAATCAGGATTCGATCCCCAGACTCCCAGGTGAAAGTCATGCGCGCTAACCAGTCAGCCAAACGGAGATCTCCCTTGTACAAGTAGCCAGGGCGCATCATCAATCGGGTCACAGTGACAGGACGCTCACTGTCACAGACGCATGATGTTCTGTCTCAATCTGTCCCCCTGCTGATATTCTGCATTCCGTATTCTGCGCTTCAGGCTGTGTGTGTGTGTGTGTGTGTGTGTGTGTGTGTGTGTGTGTGTGTGTGTGTGTGTGTGTGTGTGTGTGTGTGTGTGTGTGTGTGTGTGTGTGTGTGTATTGTGTGTGTGTGTGTGCACATGTGTGTGTGTGTGCGTGTGGGGGGGGGTCTTGTTCTGTGTGAAAACGAAGCAGTACAAGTGATAATGCTGCAGGATTTCATAATTGTATCCTTCTCAGCAGCAGCACTGCAGGTGCTCTCCATGTCCAAAATGTGTGTAAGCCAGGTCCTTAGTCAACTTAAAGTTGCGCACATTTTTCCGCTAAGTTTTCTTTCATAAATCCCAAAGTTTGCATGGAAAGTTGCTTACGCAGTTTTCCGACCCCGTTTTGTGCATAAGCAAGCTTGATAAATGAGGCCCCGGGTCTAAAATGCATGGGAGCGGGTCTAAGTCTCTGGGCGATGCCATATAAGACGCCATGTTTCCTTCTATGGGAGCCCATAAGGACAAAACGGGTTTACTGATTTGTAACAAACATTTAGAAAACTTTCACCATTCATAAATGTTGTTTTACACATTTACCTCTCCACTCGTTGCCAGTGATGAAAGGGAATCTGATGTGCTTGTTATTTTGCTGAAGGCTGCGCTCCCAGGGATTTTTGACCCTAATGGCCATCCGTTGGTAAGGTCTTACTCAAACACAAAAATACCTCTTGCTTGCAATGATTTAGGTATCTACTGCCCCCTATCGCCAAAGTAAATACAATATCACTTTAAGGATAACACATTTTGGATAGATAATTGAAACTAGGCAAACCTACTGTAAAAGATTACAAATGTTAACTAAATGTTGATAAACTGATCAATGTTTGACCAATTTGAAAGAAATCAGCAGAAGAAAATTACATTTCCAACAGTGTGGATCATCACATACAGCCGGATAGCCGTGATGCATCAGTCGCCTTTCTAAAAATACTCCTATCATCTAAATGAGAGTTTAGAAAGAATCTGCAATAAATGCACAACAACAACAAAAAAACAGTAAAACAGTCGAAAACAATGTCATCAGTCGTTAACATTACAGATGCAAAACTTTTCCACCATGCAGTTAATAGAATTTGCATTTCTAGGCAAACTCGCATCTGTCTCTGCACAAGTAAAGATGGGAGAACAAGGGCAAAACAAACAGGTGGCTGCCACATGCAGCCCAATTTTTTTATCCAAACATTCATTTAAAAAAACACTTTTATTTGCGCTGACTCCCTTTTGTTAACTCTGCAGCTCTTCAGTGCTTTTATAACACTACTGTCCAACCTTGTAAAACAATGCAATGCCGCAATTTTTTTTTCCCTTGGAAGAGTCCATTTCTGAGAAAAGGAAGTGGTATAATGTACCTTTAATCAAAGCAATTTTTAAATAACCAAATAAAAATGTTCTAGTTGGATTTACTAAACATAAAATAGTTTTGCTCCAAAATAAAAGACCAAAAGGAGCTTCCTTCCTGACTCACGATATTGTGGTTATTTGTTGTAACAAACCGGTCCAAGATCAGGAGCACAAACGTGTCCAGAACAATCCGTGTCACACCAGAAGCTGTCGAGGTGGAAACGTTTTAATCAAAGAAGCAGTGGGAGATGCTTGACACACACACACACACACCTACACACACACACACACACACACACACACACAAACACACACACCAGCGAGTCGTCCACTCCTCAGGAAGTGTCCGTGAGCTAATTCTTAGCACGAGCTCGGTCTGCTTCTTCAGACACGGCTCGCTGCAACTGTGTGTCCATCAGACGGTCATCGGTGGAAAGCAAAGCAGGCGAGGAAATGAAGTGTGTGTCTGTGTTTGCCGCTGTGTGTGCAGGACTGATTAAGGATTAAATTGACATTACAAAGAAAATAACCTAGTTCTGAGCAGGATTTCAGAACAGAAACTGGTACAGATTAGCCTAACTGCATCTTTAAACGTTGCTAATTAATCAGATTAACTAATGCGTACAGATTAGCCACACTTAAACCTGCAGTCTCATTTTGTTTGATAATGTAGTAAAAATACCAATCAGCCAGTATTATCATTTTAATGAAGATGCACCGAGTCAGATTTGAGGGTAAAAAAAATTTATAATTTTTTTTTTGATTGATAGATCTGACCACCTGATACTGGATGATTCGATATTTTTGTGATTAGGTACTGATTGTGATTCTGGAAGTAAAATCTTAAGAGGTCTGTGTCTATGAGAATTACATGAATTAGCGTTTAACGATGAAATGTTCACAAATTGAGAAAATTGTATTTATTTCAACGGTGTGTTCATGGTCGGAAAAAAAATGTAATCAAATCTCACAGATTTGTTTTCAGTGATCACATATTAAGGTGCTCAATAATGAAATTTGTACCTACTTTACAGCTAAAGCAAAGTTTTTTTGTTTTTTTTACCGAACCTTAGTGCTTGAAATAAGGACTTTGCACCAGTTTTGTTCATGGCCAGCTGATGAATTCCCTTTGCAGTAATCGGTTGTTATCAGTGTAACTGGGGCATTTCCACCAGATGCGTATGCATCGCGTAACGTTCGCAAAACTTAGTACGCAGCAGCTAGCCGTCTTTATGGTGGATGGGTGCATCTCCCCCAGCTGTGATGCATTACATTTTGGAAGCATCCTAGAAGCATAGGTACATGTTGTATATGCTTCGAGCTTTTATTACGCTCTACGCTTCCAAAACACATCAACCTCAGCAAATCAGATCGCCAGAGAGAAAGCCGAATGAGAAAGCAGTGTAGACAAGTCGTGTGCAGATTTCCAGCACCCCATAGCCAACAGAATAGAAAATAAACCACAGACCTTTTTGGATACATGCTGTCGTCCTTCTCCTTGCTTGTTACCACATGAACTGCAGAAATAACACATGATCTTGCAACTTCTTAGTGATTTTGTAACTCGTGGAAAAAGAAACGTGACGCGTTTCGCTTCGCATCTGAAACGCTCCTGGTGGGAAAGGAGCTTGCGCGTAAAACTCCTCTCTTACGTTACACGCTGGAATGAGAATTTCGACAAAACAGAGTTTTTTTGGCTTAGCAGCTATTGTCTTTATTATACCGATAGCAAGGTGAGACATAAGCTCCTCTCAAAACTCTCCAAAATGAAGCAAAAATAGTTTTTTTTCCTCTTAAAGACAGTTCTCTCCTCTTATCTGACGTCTCCATTCAAAATGACAAGTGTGGCTTTTAAACTGCAGTGAGAGCTGCGTTAACGCAACTGGTGTGAAACCAGAGATCTCCCAAGAGGGAGTGATTTTTAAACTGCTTCACATTAGTGGAGGCCTGACTAGTGTGAGGCATGCACAAAAGTAAATCAGGGGGTAATCCGAACCGGACAACATTTAACAGTACT